CGCCTTTGTTTGAAGTACCCGAAGGCGATTGGGCGTGTCCGAAATGTAGGAAGCGGAAAGAAGAAGAGCTGAAAAAGTCCACGGCGACTCCACCTCTAGCAGCGCCTCCACCATTCAAACCGGTTTCCGCGAGCAATAACGAGTCTTCAAACTCGCCTAACTACACTGGAAATAATCCAAATCAGTTTAAAGGATATGAAATACCGAAGAAATCGAACAAAGATTCGTCAAGACTTTCACTCTCAGATATTGCAGTCGAGGAGCCGTCAGCCGAGGAGCTGGCACAATTTGGTTTGCCGGTCCAATTTAACATGAATTCAAACATAGTTCGTGCTCATGAGAATCCGGAGAATTCAGGTTTCGGAAACCGCGAAAATGATGCAAGGGGTTTTGATGCCAGGACTCACGAAAGGTATCACGGCCGCTTTGATTATAGTAGCCGAGGCTGGCATGACAATAGCAGAGGTGGAAGTTTTGGCCAGCGAGGAGCGAGATTTGAATCTGATAGAAATAATCGCGGGTTTCCAGACCGAGGACGTGGGTTCCCTGATCGAGGAGGAAGAGGTGGTTTCGGTCGATTTGCTAACGACAGAGGAGGTCTGAGAGGCGGACCCCGCGGGGAGCCACGGATTTCTCGATGGGGTGATGAACCAAGGCGAGAATTCCAAGGACCAGATAACAGTCAAGTTCTTTTTGATCAAGCTTTTGAAAATACAAACGAGCATCTGAATGTTAGTGACATAGAGAAAAATGTCGCAGGTGCTACCGAAATGATCAACGACAATTTTTTTAAACCACAAAACTCCGCTCCTCCCGAAATGACTGCATCAAATATTGAATCGAAAGAACCAAGCTTCGACCCTTCTGATAGTAATATATCAAAGCCATTGGAAGCTGAAAAAACTGAAGCTGAAGACATATCGATGAAAAGAGAACGGTCTTCTGGTCGATCTGGAAGCAAGGAAATAAGCAAAGAATCAACGGATAAAGAATCGAGGCGTCGATCAAGAAGTAAAAGCTCAGACAGCCGGAAACGGCGTCGAGAAAGAAGCTCTTCTAAAAAACGCTCGGATGATGGAGATACTAAACGCAGCCGGGACAGACGAGGTAGTCGTGGTAGAGACAGAGATCACGATCGCCACAGGTCACGACGAAGTCGCAGCAGATCTCGCAAAAGGTACGACTCAGATAGGCATAGTCGTCACGACGACAGACGCTCTTCAAGGAATGACTACAGAAGTCGCGATTCAAGGCACGAAAGAGATGATCGCAGGTCGAATCGGTATGATGACGATAGACGTAGAGGAGATTATGAACGAAATGCCGACTCGATGACATCAGGATCTAATGCCGTTCCTGTAGAATTGAACATTGCAATGCAGCCATCGGCCTCTGCTGACAAACAGCAACTTACGCCAACAAAAGATGAGCAGTCAAGCGAAACGGTCCCCGAGGTTCAAGGACATCTTCCAATCCTGGATAATCCATTGGATGACTTCAACGGGAGATTCCAACCTAGAAATTATGGAGGTTTCGGTCCCCCCTCTTTCGAAGATGAAAGGCCGAGATTTCAAAACAGTTTCACTCCCATTGGCAGCAATAGGTTCCCAAGACCCCCAAGACAGGGTTTCAGTCCACGTTTCCCCGGACCCATGCATCCTAATAGTGGCCCACCTTTCAATGCAGGTCCAAATGCTCAACCTATGCCCAACCCATTTTTCGCTCAGTTCGATTTAACTCGAACCTCCTTGCCAAACCAATTGCAAGGAAACGTATCTTTCCCTAACCCTCCCTTTTCGGGTGCGATGAACACGCCTCAGAACATGCTGAACGCTCGCTTGCAATTTCCACTCGGAAACGGCCCTAATAACGTGGGACCGTTAAGTGCCCCTCCCAATACAATTGATCCCAATGTTCTGCAACAATTCGCAAGTTCACTTGCAAATACATCAGCTGCTGCTCAAAATGCGCAGTCACTTAGCAACGTTCAAGAACTTATAAACAGTCAGGCAAATTTACTACAAAGTCAACAAAATTCTCAACAAGATGTAAATGCTCAGCCTAATGTGGCTGCGCTGTTGAGACAGATAGAATCAAACAAGCTGATGCAATCAGTGGCTTCATTGAATGCTGCAAATTCTAACGCAGGCGCTGTGTTCCCGAATTCGCCTCAACAAATGCGCGATTCTACCCCGGAAACGCCTGCTCGAAACCGAAACACAGGCTCCAGTGTTTCTCCCATTTCAATAGCTAAAGTTCAATCCAATATGCCGATGATTAATAGTATTTTGGAGTCGCATTTTGGTAATCAACAGCATATGCCAGCACAGAGCCAGAAACCATTGCAGCAAATTTTCGGAGGAAATCTTTCCTTTCCAAGTCAAAACTCTTCGCCCGAGTTAGTTGAGATGGAAGATTCGGTTGTGTCCCCGAGAGTGGAAGCAAAACCCGAGAAGGAATCGGTCCCATTCCTCGGGCAGTTGATGAGAAGTGTGACGTCTCCTCCTATTCCCTTTATGGATGGATCTGACGATGTTCAGAAAGCGGAAACAAAGCCGCGGAAACAGAAGCCATGGGTTAAACCTGTGATACCAAAAATTGATTCAGAGGACGAGAAGAACTCGGAAATCGAGTCGTCAGCCAATGAAATGCAGTTAAAAAAGAAGTTAAACGACAGGTCAGAACTGCAATCGAAAGTTGCTGACGTCATTAAAGGTCTTCTAATGCCACATTTCAAGAAAAAAGTTATCACTAAGGATGAGTACAAAGATATAATGAGAAAGTCAGTGAACAAAGTCGTGAAACGAGGAAGCAGCAGCTCTGATCTGAAAGAAGAGAAGATAGGAAAACTAGTCGATGCGTATGTGGATCATTACAAGACAAAGAGAAGTAAAGGGTCAAAATTGGGAATGGACCCTGATGATTTTTGAAACAATCAAATACTCAGTCAAGACTCTTTTCATATAGACACAGATAATTATTTTGAAAATTTCCTTGATTGGATGAATACTCATGTGAAATGTATTGATTTCGAGGTTTTTTCCAAGTGTTGTTTAATCATTTATTATCTTGAATTTTTCGGGATAATTTGATAAACTCATTACTTATCCAATGGTTATTATAATTGTTTTGTTGCGCAATTCTAAATATTACGCCACCATCACTTTTCTGACAGAGTTTTGTTTCGCTCAGCCAGAATTGTTACAACTAATACTCGGCGGTGATTATAGTTATGTTTTACCTAGGGGCGGAAATAGAATTTCGCGCGGACATGTAGATTTTTAAAAAGTTTTGACTTTTTTATGTGTCGGCCAAATTGGTTTTCTGAGTTTTTCAAAAACACTAAAAAGACGCTATCTTGCCATTTTATGACAAAATTTTTTGTTCGTTCGCGCTCCGCTCCGAAATATGTCTAATTATTGTGCTTTTCTTAACTTTCATCCAAAAACGATCACCTTGATGATACCTAGGTTTAGAGAGGCCTAGTGTTATCCTAAATATTATGGTTCGCTTAGAAGTTGCTTGATAAGTATGAGACCATGACAAAGTGTGTGGCAAAACACAAAAGAACGATAAGGTGCCTTGATTTACCTGGTGTAAGGTTGTAAAAACGTGTAATCATCGAATACATATATTTTGCCTATTGGAAATTTTTTCTCGCGAAGAACGTTCATACTAGAATGACAGAATTTGGTCATCTTCAACTTTTATCACGGTTGTCTTATATTATCTAATTATGTTTCTGAATGCGATGGTTTTGTATCTAGAGCTAAAGTTTCAAAATATATTTCAGAAGTACATTAGTTTTTTGTCAGCCTTGTCTTTAGAGTTTTCGTCGGCGCCTTTGCCTGGTGATTTGTTTCGCTTTTAATTTTTTTTTCTGAGCTTCTCTTATCTATGCGTTTTAATCTTTGTTTCTTCCTTTGTGTATGAACTTTCTAAATACTGAGAAGGACGTAATTGCGTTCATTTCATAACTTTCAAGGTTTTAGTAGTTTTTCTGTAACCTGTTTTTGTGGTAATTGTTTGATAATTTTTTAAATATCAGTTTTACTGTTCCAATTTCCTAAAAGTTATAAAGATTTATTGAATGTAGGCCTCTGTCCTAAATTTTCTGATAGGCTTCTACTTTATTTGTTCCCATAATTTTTGCGAATATTTGGGGCACGTTTCCATCTAAATATTAGAATGCAATAAACAATAAATATATAGTTGAACAAGGATAGCCGGTGTCTGCGCAAGTAGCACAAAATGTTCGGACCATAATCTTAAAAAAATACAAACGCTTTTTCATGTTTTTTTTTTCAAAATAGTTGTTTTTTTGAGAGTCGTGTGATAAAAGGATCTGACGAAAACCGAGAGTTTAGGCATATTCGACGGTCATAGTGAATAGGCAAATCGGCAACGTTTCAAGTCGAAAAAAGACAAAAATTTTTTTTTAATTATTACGAAGATGGCGTCAAAAAATTCGAAAAAATAATTTTACTGGAGTTCAACCGCTTTTCTCGGAATTTTGAGCGGTCACTATTCAAAAGTTCTGTTTTACGAGACCCCCATTTTCGGCCGACTAGCCCAATTTCTACCGATGGCACCATTTTAACTAATTTTAAAAGGGGAAAAACCCGCGCCGAAAAAGCAAATTCCTGTGTTCAAATCTTTTCAAAAGTTGCCCGAAAACAGGATATTTTGCTTGATTTTCAAATTATTGCCTGCAGCGCTATTTGCCAAAATAGGCCCTTTTCATCGTTGAGCTCAGAAAATCATTATATTTGACATAAAAATATCTAAGAAAATCCGTTTTAATTGCCCTTGATTTGATTGTCATAAATGAAGTCTTTTTTTTCTTCCAGAAGAGCGAGCTTAAAAAAATAGAATTCAGCAGCCAAAAATTGTATCCTAACTTTTTCAGCCTTTGTGAGAAACTCAAACATGTTCATATTCAGAGTCCATCTTCGTGTTCCAGTAAATTGTAGTGGAGTTAGAAAGAAACAATTTTGGTCATGCTTTTATTTATCACATTGAAAGAAACTTCACAATAAATCGACATTGAAAATAGATGTATATAACACAGCACGTTTGAGATTGGAAAGAATCGAGACATTTTTCTGATTATTTTTCAAAAATATTTTTCTAAAAATAATACTTTACTACTATCACAATACAACAAGAACTATATACAATACTCTGAATATAGAAACGAACAGTTTAATTGAACCCTGTCGAGGTGCGTGAACAAATAGAGTGATGAAGCTATACAGGTCGAATGAAATATGAGAATGCTCAGGTGAATGGCTGAACTTCAGATTAATCTTTCTTGACCGGGAAAATATAAAAATGAGGACGGTATGACGATAATAAGATATATAGGGGTCCCTAAAACGAACGAACCAATCTATGATTGATAAAAACTAATCGACAATTGACGTGATTTTGGGAAATTCAAGTTTGAGCCCCATGGAAATGAACAGACAGATATTTCCTAAAACTAAGCTTGAAACGATGACATAATTATTACAAACTAGAAACAAAACGCGGTTTGATAAGCTACGAACATAAATTTTACAAAAAGCAAATCAACACATGCAATTTATATAGCTCGGACATTTTAAGATTTTGCTGCACGTTTTTTTTCTAAAAATCATTTGTTGGAAACGCCTCTAGGTTGAAAGATGGCAAGTTTTTTTCCGATTGTTAATAATACGCAAACAATAATCATGAATGTTCACCTCTTTCTGCAAAATGATCATATATGGATGTTGGCTCGGCTCTGGATAGTTATTCTGTGTGCATGGCACTACTTGAATACAGTTAGTACCAAAATTATTGCCCTAACTTGATAAAGTTTTGAATGAAGTAGCAATCTTCAATTTCTCGAAAAATTATAATAAAAAGTCTGATGGATGTCAGTTAAGTGAACTAGTAAATGATTGGGTGGGATTGTTGACCAAAAATTGCCCTAGTTGCAACTACTTTCATTTTTTTTGCGTTGGACAATAGTTTTGTTACTAAGTATGCAGCATGAGTTTCTATTCTAGTTGTTGATTCGAGCAGCAATCTCGACATTCTGAAGTATCTCCTCGTTGCGAGATTTCGACAAGGTCAATGTCGCAGTCCAGTAGATCACATTGAAGATGAAGAAGCAGATTGGGTAGAGGAAGCGACTGAAGTAGTCGATGGCCATCGGATCCGCTGCAATATTAGCCCAGCAAGACTTATCCTCCACATCGAAATCGGTCATTGGCATCTCAATTGTTGGAATGGCGCCATTTTTCGCGGCGAATCCTCGGTTCTCGGCACTCACGACGGCCCCGTTGTTGTTATTGTTCAGTGGTGTCACTTGTGACTGGAACGAATCTCGGTCCTCGCCCTTGAGAGAGTTGGTCCCTCCGCTGGCGGGAAAAATGCTGGCTCCCATCGCTTTGTTGCGAAGTTTTTCAACTCTATCCTTGCGGCGCTGAAACAAAAATCGCAAGTCGAGCAATTCGTTATTTCAACTCTTCTAATGCTCTTTACAAAATGTGTTCATACTAAATGATAGCCAAATGAAGCACACCCACCTTGTAGCTGGTCTCGGAGAAATTGACGATTGCAAACTCGATGAGAGCTCCGAACACGAACATGAAGCAAGCGCCCAAGTAGATGTCGACAGGAGTATACATGAGGTTTGTAGGCAGACTGCCAATGCAGCTGGTGGTCAGAGTCATCATGGTCAACACGCAAGTTATGCCAACTGAGGCACGTGCCGGAACCACTCCACTGAAAAACATTCGAAATGGCATCTATTTTAAAATCTGATTAGGTCTATAGTTTGCCTTTAGTTTAAAAGTAGGAAGGAGATTTTATCGATGGTATGCTAAAAGGGGACCCTTGAGTAGCTGGCTCAGGAAACTATCTTCGTTATTACATCTTAATCTTTCCAACTAAGATTAAAAGCTCCAACCATTCCTCAATTAGCTTTTTTGTATCGAATACCTGAATTTTGGTTTGCTCAATGAAGCCAAAAATAAGGATAGCCGGTTACTATGCAAGTAGCACAGAATGTTCCGACTATAATACTCTTAAAAAAATTCAAAGTTTTTCCGAACTAGCGCCCTTTTTTTCGGCGTGGAGTGATGCAAGGAGCTGAACAAAAAACTAGGGATTAGGTATATTTGACAGTCATAGTAAGATAAGCAAAATGAAAAACAATTTTTATAGACAAATAACTAGAAAAACGAAAAAAAAAATCAAAAGAGAATCTTCGAAAAATGTTAGCAGTTTTTTGAAATTTTGAAAGTTTTGCTTCCAAAAAGGCGCTAAAATACTCATAGTAAACTAACGTTATTCAAGTAAAGATAAATTTGTACGTTTCAAAATAAGCTAGTGTAAGCTTTTGAGCAATTAAAATAAGACTGCTCGCTCGCTTTATTCGCTCGAAATATGACGAAAAATCAAAAACTTTGAAATTTTTTAATGTGGTTCGAATCACGACTGAAAGGGCTTTAATATGCTATATCATTCAACCCAGTCCGATGATTATTTGTGGTACCTGATTTTGCGTGGAAAACAAAAAAAACGGAAAAAGACAAGGATAGCCGGTTACTGTGCTAGCATCACAGAATGTTCCGACCACAGACTTGAAAAATACAAATTTTTTTTTAAATTGGTGTAGTTTTTTTTCAACATTTTGTGATAAAAGGATCTGAACAGTAAAATTTTTTTGTATTTTTTGTATTTTCAAGTTTTTGATTCCCAAAATTGCGCTAAAAGACTCAGCTGCTCTTATTTGAGTAAAACTAAGTTTTCACGGCTTAAATCAAGCTTAAATAAGCTATTGTAAGCCTACACGGTCACCTTACTAGCTCAAAATTACAACAAAAATCAAAAATTTCAAACCGGTTTTTGATTGACACTGAAAAAATTTTTTATGTTCGAATCACGACTGAAAAGTGTTAATATGATATGTCATTTGACCCATTACGATGATTTTGCGTGGAAAACAAAATAAGAAAAAAAACTAAAACACCAAAATATAAAGTTCCTCTCCATTTTCAATAGTTGGAACAACGAAGTACTTCAGATTTAGTTGTTTATTATTTGTGATAAATTAACAGGTAAAACCGCATAAGAATGCTTTTTGGCTGCCATTCCAGAGGAAATGTAAACAGATAACCGGAAGATATGCCTTGATTTTTGTCCATATCCAGATTTTGTATTTGCTTTTGATAGTGTTCGAAGGCGATTTAAATGAATATTTTATAGAGTTTCTAAATTAAGACGGGTAATTTGTAAAAAAAAAATCATTTATGACAGATATAATATGGGAGAAGTATGTTTTTGTTTTCTAAAAGATTTTTTTGTCCGCTAGAAAATGGAGAGCGTCCACCTAATTTTCCATCCATGATATATTTGCAATTGAGGTTGCGCTGGACTGTGGGGTCTGATTAACAGCAGTGAAAACTTGATGAAAAACTTGTCAAGCAAAGTTGAGGTTATTTTTGCCGGAGTTTTTTTTTGCTGACAAGAAAAATTGCAAGATCAAAGTTTTAAGCAGGTTTATGACTGCTGTTAACTTTTTTTTGTCTTCTTCCGGTACGCAGACTCAAGGATTGATATTCATTTATTGTACTCAACTTATCACGTTCTTAAAAACGTTACAAAAATCATCAAAAACTCTTCAGGAACAAAGAATTTTTTGTATTTTTCTTCTCAATTTGTTACATTCAAATAATGTTAGAATCATACCAAGGTTAAATGACCCTCAGATGGCGGTTAACATGCCTGTTATTTTTTCTATCTCTCCAACTTCGTAGTTTAAGCTGCTGCAATAGATCTTTTCTGTAAATTTGTTTTTATTTTCAAAGCTTAGGAGCAAATATATTTTTCTTTTTGAACAAAACAGAGCAATGAGTACTCACGGGTTGATGTAGAAAGTGACCCATGAGACAAAGACGATGAGGGTGGAGGGCAGGAATATCTGGCCGATGTAGAAACCCACCTGTCTGTGCAAGACATACTGCAACACCAAGATCGTCTGCTCATGCGGCACTGAAACACACAACCATTGCTACGCGAGGAACTAAAAAATTACTCTTAAAAAATAACTGTCCTCTTGTCGGTTGCTATGCAGTTAGCACAGAGTTTTCCAACCACAGCAGCCAAAGCAAAAATGTTTCGATAATTTCATTTCAGTTTAAATAAATACAAAATTGAATTGAAAGTATTAGGTTGGATCGTAAAAAAATGGTTGAATCGTCAAGTTAGACTTAACTAACTGAGTTAACTGAAAGAAAAATCTCCCTAATATATTTGCCCTACCAGTGTGGATTTTGGGATCCATTTTCAAATTTTTTTACGATCCAACCTAATACTTTCAATTCAATTTAAATTTAAGACTCAAAATTTAATTTAAAGCTCGAAATAAATTCACTGTATTCAAGCTAATAAATCTAGACGAATCTCAAGGCTCTACTCTACGACCCCCTCCAAAACGTAAAACACCTGCAGTTTTTATGAAAAATCCTTTGTGTTTGAATTTTTTCACTATTTTTATAGCAAAGCTGAAAGCAATCACAAAAATATGTGATACTTGTCTATCAGTCTATTAATTTTGTCGCTAAAACTCTAATTAAAGTCAAGTGAAGGAACTCTGGCCTACTTTTTTTCTGTTTCATTCCCAATTTGCCTACCTCGAAAAAAACTTGTAGGGCGTCAAGTGTGATATCATGATAAAGCGCAGTAAGTGAAGTGACTTAAAATCAAGTAAGTGTTGTTGAAAACAGCGTTTTAGACAGCGTAATTTTCAGTTTTAATTAATGGTTAAATTCTATTTTAGTTATAGTTTAACAAGACTGCTCAGATATCATGGCAAACCTCTTAATCCATATCGAATATTTTTTGGAAAAAAATGAAAATCTGTAAACTTTGGACAACATCAAAGATCAAATTTGAGTCGTACGAAATTAATACGACCGATTAGCTAGCCTCAATTCAGTTTGGAGCAGATTTATTGAGCGGGATAATTCGCCACACAACTATTTTGCGTCACACTCTCAGCATTATGAATAAATTCTTTGAAGCGGGATTAGTTAGTGCAAAACATGGCCAAATTGGCAATATCTTTTTACGGTAGCAGGACAATCTACCCTATTCCAAACTACCCTATACCATTCTACCCTATGCCATTATACCCTACATACCAATATACCCTATACCAATCTACCCTATACTAATCTACCCTATACTAATCTGCCCTATATACCATAATGAGGTCCCATAATATAATCTTCAAAGTCCTAATTAGAATCGGAAAGATACAGCACGTGTTTATTCATTTGAGTCTAAATTTTTGGACTCAATTTGCGTCTTTCTTTTAAGGAAATTGCTCTAAAGACTAAATCGCAATTAGAGCCTCAAAATCTGAAATTTGTTTCAATTTACAAGTTTTAATCCCCAATTTTCAAAATCACGTACAAAAATGAAACCAAAACTACGTCATTATATCAATTTTCTTTGGAATAACATTTATCAAATTGAGTCAAATTTCTTGGGGTTTATCCCAACAGAATCTGCGAACGCTTGTAATCGGTGGCCACGAGTTTACGAAAAAACAGGAAACAAAGAATGGAAACATTCACTGGAAGTGTTCAAGATGGGGGTCCCATAAATACAAAACGACAGTAATAACCCGAGAAAACGATCTTATTGCCTGTAGAAATGAGCACACGCACGAAGTATTTCCTGGTCGTTCGGATGCAAGGCTTCTCGTGCAGAAAATGAAACAGGACACAAAAATACAGCAAGCACCAGTCAATAGCGTAATTATAGCAAACGGCCTGCAGTCTGTCTCCGAAGAAAAAGCAGTTCAATTAGCTCTTCCTTGCCGGTCGGCTATTAATCGGGCTCTCAATCGACAGAAGGTAAATGATAGACCCACATTGCCTCCAATTGTCGACAGACATTTTGAAGTGCCAAAGCAACATGAGAATTTTTGCGTCTTCGATAGCGGCATTGAAGATCCAGAAAGGGTGTTGATTTTTGGAGATCGGGACAATATCCAGAGTTTGATATTACATCGAGATGTTTGGCTGTGTGATGGAACGTTCAATATTTGCCCGATTCAATTCTATCAACTCTTGACGACAATATCACTCAAAAATTGATGAGGTAGCCTCATACTTTCAGCGCACCTACATCAAAGGCGAAATCATCGGAAGGAATTCTCGCGAACCTCTCTTCCCAGTAAACCTTTGGAATCATTCCAAAGAAGCAGCTGCTGGGTTAAAAGGACAACAAATGCTGTAGAAGGCTGGCATCTTGGCGTTGCTACTCTCTTTAAAGGAAACCGCCCATCCGTTTACACCTTTCTGGAACAAATCAAACTGGACGCTGCCAATCAGAAATTCAATATATTGAAAGCAATGGGAGGAAACAGCAACCCCAGTCGAAAGAAGTACAGGGAATTGAATGAGAAAGTGAAAAACATTTGCAACAATTTTAACAAAGATTCTATTTTAACATATTTGTATTCTCTCGCTCAATTAAGTCATTCCTAACTCAGTTTATTTTATCAAACTTTGTGAATTTTTCAAAAATTCAATTTAATTTCTAAAAAAAATTACACTTTTTGAGGTTCCTGTGGCCTTAGAGGGCTGAACTTTTGGGAGGTAATAGAGGCCAATACCAAAAGAATTTTACCTTCTCCCTCACCCCGCCCCCCAGTACCGCCTTGGACTGGTACTGGGGGTTCTACCCCTCCTTTTGTGATCAACTAGTCAAACCCTCAGTAATTTTCGAATTTCATTCAAAATTTGACTTCTTGGTGATTTGACCTCTCGAAATTTTCAAACACATGCATTATCCGCTACGCTATGTCGACTTGATGTGATACGACTTTTGTTTGTTTAATAAATAGCCGCAACGCATTTCTATAGCAACATTGGATTAAAATTTCTGTTCCATCATGCTTTGAACTCATTTCCATTTTGAACGCGCAAGTTTTACCTTGCTTTGATATTTTGTTCACGTGCGTCACTTATTCTTTGATCATAATTAATGGTTCTTTGTTTTGTTCGGAAATATACTGTTTCGGATTCTTCAAGAGGATGGGGTAAGTTTCAATTGCTTTAATTATAGGGTAGAATGATATAGGGTAGATTGGTATAGGGTAGAATAGCACAGGGTAGATTGGAATAGGGTAGAATGTCATGGAACCCTTTTTACATGTGAACTCAAAAAATCAATATCTTCGATGGGTATAATATTTTTCGTTGAAAACTATTATTTCGGTCGGCGAAAATTGATTGAATAAAAAAACCCTAAATTTACCGTTTTCTTCGAGGTCGGAATAATCAAGCTATTTCTGTTTCAACCTTTCTCCCCTCTTGAATTTTTTTTCAGTTTTCACAATGCGAAATGTCCGGATACAAAGAAACCAGGAGACATGTCTCGAAGCACTGATTGAAGCATGGGAGAAAATCAAAATTTTACGCCACAGAGAATCAAATATTCAGAATTACCCCGACAACATATTAGTCTTGCTAATAGCCTCACCAAGCCTAGTTGGCTGTCCTATGATTGCATACAGGACATCAATCTGTTGTAGCCTTATCTAAGTGCTTATTACAAGGCAAAGTTTTATGCCATGCTTTTCAAAGATTCCTAAACTCTGACTAAAACTTCGAATTAATGTACAAATTAGATGTTTTAGTCAAAGCTTAGGAATCTTTATAAAATAAAGTACAAAATTTTGCCTCGTAATCGGCAATTAGATAAGGCTATAATAGGTTGAATAAGGCCTATGTTCAATCATATCATAGACAAAAATGGACAGACAAGCGTAATATGCTGTCGGTGGTATTAGGGTTCAACCCGTATCAAAATCTGAAGTGTTTAACCCCCTAGGCATTGGGTTCAACACTGCTACAATCCACGATTCATAGAAGAAATTTTGCAAATAAAACAAATAGTTTGCTTTAACGGTGACTGCACAATTAACTGGATCTCACAGCTACAATGAAAGCTTTCGTCACTTCACGAAGGGCCCTATGAGCTCCCTAGTTGAAGTTTTCCCTTCATCGCCCGTATAAATGAGTCGTATCCAGATTAAACCTCTGTTAGTCTTCCAAGTGTCAATCAAGTGGTCATTCTTAGTTATCAGATTGAGTTCTTGGACCTTCGATGGTTATTTTTTGGCTAACTGGAGCGCTTTGAGTTGTCTTACTTCCTAACTTTCCATAAGGGTTTCATGATATGTAGTAGTCGATATCTTACATTGGGTGAAAATTGAAAGTCAACCAAAGGAGAAGTAAAAAAACTTTTTATCGAGAATCGAGCTGAGGTCAGTGGTGTTGATTTATTGCCATCTTTGACATAGGGTACTATTTTACATCTACTTGGTTTATATTTATGAAATAATCGTCTTAGATAAGACGTTGCATTCCAATGAGTTTTCTCATGAAATTTTCATAAATTCGACTGCTACCTTCTTGGGACCTCAGAAGTATGGAGCAGAAAGAAACAAAACTGAATGACAAAACTTGTTCGCCGGGAAAATTAACCACCAAATCTTTTGTAGTTAATTTTAGTCTAACATTTTTTTTGCTTCAATTAGCGCATGCTGACAGCCAATGGCGGCTTAAAAAACTGCAAGGTAGATTTTGGGCCATTTTTTGTCTTTGATGTCAAAAAACCAGCAACATTTTTTCCATCTTTAAAACTCGACGAGTGTGCTTGTGCCGACATTTAGATTAGAGATCAATCATGAGTTGATATGACCCTCTCAGCTGGAGTCGAGAGCCATCACTCAAGTTTTGAACAGTTGTCGGAATGGATCGAGACTTGGGATCCACCAAAACTCTTTGCTCTTGGTTTCACTGCTTCCCTCCAGTAAAAGCATCTTCATGACAAATTCCAATTTTCAAAAGGCAAATTTTGGAAGCATCTTTTCAAAATATAGTTTAACTGGGACAAATTTTCCTTATTTTGTTAAAGGTTGTAGTCCCGGTCGAAGAATGTGCTTAGATGTCAGAGTTTTGACGTACTATTCA